ACCAAGGACCCTACAGTCCATTTCTTCCTCCTCCTCCTCCTCCTCCTAGTTGTTCTTTGGAGTCCTCTGAGCTTTGATGGTTTTCTTGCAGATTTCAGGACCGAGTTAAGGTAATAGCATCAATGCTAGAAGGGTTTGCCCTCTCTCTTCTGGTACTGATGATGTAACCTTCGTGACGTCATAAAACGTGCACAAGAAAACAACCACGCTCAGAGAGCACCACGGGGCCCATCGTCCATGTCCTGTCCTATTCTCTTCTACCAGTTTTGTTGCACCAAACTTTCTCATCACAAGAGAGATCACAAGACACCCGTTCGAATCCTCCAAGTGTTTCCCACATACGACAACGCGACAACGAGGAACACACAAGACAGCAAACTTGCTAGCTTTCTTCGATCTCCGGAGGCCCAAACATCTCGTCCTTCTGTCCATCCTGAACGTGAGCTAGGATGGATTTGATGACAACCTTCCTTGGTTACTTCCCAACAGACCGGATTCCCTCCTTACCATGTTCACCATCTTGTCAAATTCCTCCTGAGATACGTAATGGTAGTCTAATCTGTTCTCTTCTCCGAAATAAGGGCTCCTGGTGGTATGACAGGGGCTGAGTAGGAAGCCAAGCAGAAAGAGAAGGAAGTGAGAACAGGGGGTGAGGAAGGCTGAGGTCCCGTTCAGAGTTGAACTGAGTTACAGAATGACAGAGCCAGAGGGGACCTCAAGAGATCTTCTAGTCCAGGGGTCGCCATCCTTTTGGACCTCAGGAACCGCCAAACTCATCATTTTAAATCCCCCAGACCAGAGACCTGGGAAAATCCCCCCAAAAGTCTGCAGGAAAATTCCCCACCCTGTTTTCCTATTGAACGATCTTTCTTTACCGTCTCCAGCTCCGTTCTCAGGGGGAAAGAGAGAGAGAGAGAGAGAGAGAGAGAGACTTTTGGCTTCATGCAAGGAAAGCAGCAGAAGCCGCAGAAGTCTTTCTTTCTCTCCCCCAAACTCTGCCAAGGGGATTATCTGAGGCATTTAAGGAATGCACTGGTTATCCACCACTCCCTTTCTGCTGGCAAGTAAAAAGACCAAAGGGGTATTTTTTTAGTTGACACTGCCTCCACCAACTCCCCAAAGATTCCCAAAGGCGTAGGACTCATACCTGTATCTGAAATAATTGTTGAACTTCCGACACAGCCGGTGACAAAGTTCTCGCTTCCAGCAGGCCAACGGTCCAGTCAACACCAACATGGGGTAGGGAGCATCGAGGCTGGGCAGGGTGCTGTGGAAAGAGAAGAGAAAGCTTGATGGAGCCTCTCAAACAAGAACATTACACACAAAACCTCTGGGTGAGTATCTCGTCACTGTAACAGATGAACTATGTACAATGACAATAAAGAATTCAAATTCAAATGATTGTAATAGATGAATTTCTATTAGGATGGTGTACTAGATCATGGAGCGATGGGGTTTTATTTAATGCAACCAGGGTCTTCTTTCAAAATTGAGTTGGTTAAAAACCAAAACGCTTCCAGACTTTGAACGCTTTGAAAGCTTTCCAAAGTCCTTAAAGAGTTTTCTAAGAATAAAACGATCTACAGACTTGAGGGGATGCTGTTCCTTTAATTATTTTGAAGGAAGAGAATCAAAGACTGGGTGAAACCAGGCTCAATAGCAGGAACTGAGAGAGGGATCTTGGAGTCTTAGTGGACAACCGGCTAAATAGGAGCCAGCCGTGTGCAGCAGCAGCCAAAAAAGCCAATGCAATCCTAAGTTGTATTAACAGAGGGATACAGTCGAGATCAAGGGAGGTCCTAATACCACTCTATAAAGACTTAGTAAGGCCACACCTAGAGTCCTGCATCCAGGTTTGGTCACCACACTATCAAAAAGAATGGAAACTGAACAAGGAGAGATTTAACCTGGAAATAAGGAGAAACTTTCTGAC